TAAAAAGAAATTGCGACTTTCGAATACGGCTTGATGATGAAAGACTGTTACTTTATCCAGATTTATTAAAAGATATTTCTGACTTTTTAAGTACACAGTATTTAAATTGGCAATATTATAGGGAAAATGTAATTATGAGGGATTGCGAGGTGATGGACTCTGAACAAGAAAAGTATATCGGTGATAACTTAATAAATGGCAATCATTTCGGTCCAAAATGTTACAATTATTGGAAATTCCCTGATATAAATGTATTCGTGAATAATGATTCTCACTTAAATAATGAAATTAACTTTGCAGAGGATGAAAATTCCAGTAAATTTTATGAAAAAGAAAATTTTTCTCAAAATAATGGTAGCTTTGAAAGGAATATTCAAAAATCAATCACCAATTACAACACAGACATTTACGGAAAGTGTTTATTAGTTCCAGAACTGTGTTCAAAAGGTGATGAACCTTTGGTACAGAATAATACATTATCATGTCTTACTACCAATATTTCTGATTTAAATGTGCTAACTACAGACTCTGGCGTACTTCAAGTATTGACATCTGAGAATTCTAATCATGATGATAACTATTTTGCATTAAATACGAACAGTTCAATGGGAACAAATGACAAGGAGTATTTCCCTATTGAAACTTAGAAAAAAAAACAAATTCACTGTTTTTCAAATATTATATAAAATTATACTAGTTGAAAAATAAATTATAGCTTTCGATTTTTAATATTAAGTAATGCTAATCTTGATCTTCGCAGTATTCTATGTTCTTTGGTGTTTCTCCAGTTAATATATATCTTCTGTTTTGTGCGTTTTTATTATAAATTAGAGCAAATTCTTCAGGCCTTTTTTCGTTCTCAAAGTAATAAATCCCATCTTCTTTTTTTGTGAAGTCTTCTTCTTTGGGAACTGAATAACGACAACAAATTAAACTTAAAATCACGCAAATTAATAAAACGATTACAAGAATTACGAGAATAACTTGACTTATTTGAGATGAAAATGGTTGATCATAGCTAATATTCCATTTATAGCTGGAAAGGCTTAGTTCTCCATTTGCTCTTCTTCCAGGAGAATTAAATATCTCATGGTTTTCATTTACAATATCCCATGCGTTCTTTTTTGTTCTAACAAAAGAATAAGCATGATTTGATAGTAAATTTAAAGATAGGTCATATTCAAAATTTATATTAAAAGCTATAATGGAAAAAAATAGAGCTATTATTTTGATATAACTTCGCATTCTGATATAGGCCCTTTAAGTTGTATAATTTTGAAATTCAAGATTCCCAAAGTATGTTTTAAACAATTATAAACATAAATAAATCAAATTGAACTCAGTGTGGTGTAAAGTTAAATTTGTTATTAATCCCAGTAATTAATTTTTGATAAATTAATTTGCAATTTTTAGATCATTTTTTGGCAAGTATTAGTTACAATTCGACAATATCATTAAATAATCCTTTTTTAGTCAAAAGTCTATTAGAATACAACTCAATATATGTTTATATTATTTTTGCATTACTAATCCAATCTATATTTCATTCGTGTGAATTGCAATATTTGTACACTACCAGTCATTGGCGGGAAGTATTTATTCCTATTAAGGTTTTTTCTCACAAGGATAAAAATCGCAAATTATACAAAAAACAACTCGGCACTCATTCATTGTTTTAGTAGGCCTGTTTTATAAAATATTAGCTTAATTTAAGCTTGTTTTTTGTATATATGTTTCATTGAGCGATTTTGATATCTTGATCATAAGTAATAAAATGTTAAGCGAAGGGGAAAGTGAGTTATTAATAGAAGACGAAAACCCTATTGCTAGATTCTCTTTGGAATTAGAGTTTGTGCAATGTCTTTCAAACCCAGACTATCTTCAATGGTTATCAAAGGAGGGATATTTTGAAGATGAGTCATTCGTCAATTACTTAAAATATTTATTGTATTGGTGTGAATTCCCATATGTGAAGTATATATCTTATCCCCATTGTATTAAAATGCTGAGACTGCTTCAGATCGAAGATTTCAGAAAAAACTTGTCGAAGGAAGAAGTAATTCAAATTATTCGCGAACAACAAACATATCAATGGATTTACTCTGACATAAAAAAAGAACATTTAAAGTTATAGATAACTTAAAGTGGTATTCATCTATGATTTATGGGGTTGTGGAGTTTGATTAATTGTAGAATTCCAATATTTAAATATCGCTCCGAGGAGCACTTTTGTTGAGATTCTAATTTGAAAGAAAAAATCTTTTTTCTATAGTAGTAATCATCAAATTTTTCACAAGTGTGAATTTAGGTCTTGATAATATCGTATTTATTTTACTTCATACTAAAAAAGTAATTATTTATGCTTTATCCAATAATTTGGACTAAAAGTTTAAAAAGCAATGACTAATATAACAAAAATTTTCAATTATTTGTTTCTGATAAACAATAAAAGCTAATTATTATTTAAATTCTAGAACAATATTAACAACTAGTACATGGAACTATTTTTTTATTTAAGCGTTATTAAGATTTTTGAGATAGTGTAATTTACTATTTAGCTTCTTGCATACTTTCCTCTACTTCGGAATTTAGGAAATTGTAGAATAAGTCAGCAAATCCCATTCCCTGATTAAGATCATGAATCACATTTTCTCTGCTATTGCTACCACTATTTCTACCGTCAGAAATAAAAAGATTGGACCTCTCGTCATGTGAAAGACCAATTGCATCACACAATAAGTTGAACAAATCATTCCTATATTTAATTCTTGATCCATCTTCATTATGTTTCTGAATTATCTGAATGATAAATCTCTTATCAATCATGAACTCCTTTTGTTCCTCTTTAGTATCATGAAGTTGCTTCATTATTTGTTCATTTGAGTTTAGAAGATTATTATTATTTTCTAGTAATTCGCCTATTTGCTTTTCGAGTGAGTTTCGGTTTTCTTCTAATTTGGTAATATTATCCTTCAAGGAAGTAATTTCATCTTGGCATGAATCTAAAACACTCAACCTCGATTGTAACTTTTTTTCTTGAGAACGGGCTCTTTCGAGTTCAATTTCATACCTCGAATTAATTTGTTCCTCTTCAGCTTGATATCCCTCAATAATACTTGTTAAATTATTAATATGTTCGTGCAGCTTATCAACTTCTGTTTTTGATTCGCATTTTTCTTCAATCATCAGATTAATTTTTTCTATTAAATTATTCCTCTCTATCTCAAGATCATCAAGCCTTTTGCGAAATATCTGGTCTTTTTCTTTGGTGTCATCTTCTATTTTATTAAGAAGCTCTTCGTTCTTTTCTCTTAGAAAACTTATCTCATCTTCCAATATTGAAATTTTCTTACTAAGTTCGTAATTTTCAGCTTCAATGTTTTGAACATTTGTTGTATACTCTGTGCATTTCTGAAAAAGTTCGTTAATTTTATCTTCCTGTTTATCAATTAACGAAGCCTTCTTTTTAAATTCTTGTAAAAATGAGCAAATACACTGCCCAATCAAAACAGTAAACCCTAAGGAAAATGGCTTTGATCTATCCAAAATTGTGTTTTTTAAATACGATTCATAGTGAGGTGGAGCCAACTTAATTAGCAGCTCTCTATCTAAAATAAGGGAATCCCTAATACTATTCCAGTCAGAATAATATCCTTGAATAACTTCCAAAAGATAATCAGCACTTCCAATTTCCATCTGAAATATTTCAGAAAACTCTTTTGAGTGTTTACTAGGTAAATTCAATATTTCCAAGTCTTCATCATCCGAGGAGTTACTTACCGTTTTTACTTCTTCTTCTTCCTCCTCCTCTTCTTTTTCATCATCATCATCTTCTTCTTCTTCCTCTTCTTCCTCTTCTTCTTCTTCCTCTTCTTCTTCTTCTTCTTCTTCCTTTGCTTTTTTCTTTTCTTCTTTCTCTTCCACTTCTTCTCCCATTTTTTCTTCAAGCTTATTTTCACAGTCCTCAAGCGTATCAGTCATATTAGATCCCTCATCATCTTCTGTAACTACAATTGATTCGCTTTCGCAGTTATTTGGAAAGTTATTCTCTACAATTAATTCATCATTGTTTTTATAATCATCATCCTCCGAATAATCGCTTTGCTGGACTATTTTATTTAATTTATTTGTTCTAGTATATATATCGGAACTTTTTTCCTCAGTTTCTCCTGAATCAAATTTATAAGTCTTTTGGGCTAATTCTTCATTATATTCCTTTTTCTGAGAAAATTGGTTAGTTTTTGAATCTAATTTCTCCTTTAAGGTTCTTTCTGTATCTAAACCCCAGTCAAATTCTTCATCAGTAAATGAGTTACTTTCTTTCGAACTTTCTGAGTCTTGAAGCATAATTACATTTTGATTTGAGTACTGATTATATTCTAAAGGCAGATTGCCTTTCAAGTCAATTCTTTTACTATCATTTAAAGAGCTTGATAAACTTAAAATATTTCTTTCTTTATTTGAACTAATAAAGCCTTCATTGTTATCATTAGAACGTAGATTATTTTTCGATCCGTAATTAGACTTTTTTAAATTAATATTTGAGTTAAAATAGTCATTTACAACATGATCATTTCTCTCCCTAGAATAAGCAATATGTCCTGGGTAATTGTTTCTTCTGCTCTTCTCATGGTCGTCATCATCTTCCTCTAACAAGGCATCGTTAAGTTCTTGAACCGCACCTTTCAAAGCTCCCCAAGCTGCCCTCATGCTAATATTATGTATTTATATTGTATATTTATCTAGATGCAATAACTAGAAGTGCAACAAATTTGAAGTAAATTTGTGTTGATTTTCTCCTGAAATTTTATTGTGCACAAATACTTATGGTAGCAATTAATAAATCCGCCAATTATTTTTAACGGATTATTAAAATAGAATTATATTTAGTTTAGATTATAATCAAATTAACTAATTAGAAGATATTTTTGATTCTAATGAATTTCAATAATTATTTCCAATTGAATCCAAACTTTAATCAAAAAAAAATTTTAAAAATGTGCGTGTATCGGGAGTCGAACCCGAGCCATCAGTTCGGAAAACTGAGATGCTAGCCGTTACACCATACACGCCCACGTCTGAACGGTTGTTTTTAGTGATTATAATCTAAAAAACAAACATTAATTCGAAAAGTCTACATTAGGAATTAAAAAAAAGAAAACAAAAAAAAAAAAACAATTCGAGAGCAATATTAATAATTTATGAAAATATTTTTGCTTTAAAGCTAAATAGATCGCGTATATTTGGGATATTATAACTAATCATCGTTGGCCTTTCAAGAGAAAGCCCCCATGCAATCACAACGATGTCAGAGGGAAACCCGAGTGGTCTAAGCATTTCTGGTCTAAATAAGCCGGAATTTCCAACTTCGATCCACTTTTTTAGGGTAGTGTGGTATCCAAAGATTTCCATAGAAGGCTCAGTATAAGGGTTAAATGCAGGTTTAAATTTAAGATCGGAAATACCAATCTTTTCGTAGAAAGTCTTTAAAGTTCCGATTAGATCTGCAAGTGTAAGATTCTTGTCGACAATTAATCCCTCAACCTGATGAAACTCAGCAAGATGGGTAGCATCGATTGATTCATTTCTGAAAACACGGTCAATTGAGAAGTAAGCCTTTCTCTGGAAATTATCAAAAGATAGTCCGTTCTCGTTATATAAATACATTTGAGCAAGTTTATAAAGCATTCTTACGGAAACTGCTGTTGTGTGAGTTCTAAGAAGATTTTTAGAGGCTTCTTCAATACTCCAATTGTAAGATAAACCAATTGATCCATATCCGCCAATCTCATGTACTTTTTTAACTTTATCAATGTGATCGTTCGACAACTCCATTTCATTTCTGAAAGTACTTGGAGTTTCTAAGAAGAAAGTATCATGAGAATCTCTTGCAGGATGTTTTTGAGGTTGGAAAAGAGCATCAAAATTCCAGAATGAACTTTCAACCCAGCGATTAGTAGGCATCTCTTCAAATCCCATTTGAGATAAAATTCTCTTAAACTTTCTTGAAGTGCGAGTAAGAGGATGAATATTTCCTCTTGGCAGTCTTTTTCCTTTTGCATTGAAATTATAGGGTTTAAACTCGTTGTTTTCCCAACTTGAGTTCATAATCATTTCTTGGGTTAAATCAGTAATCATAGGTTTAAGCTTCACAGTAAAGTCCTCCCCCTTATTAATCATGAAGTAAGATATTTTCTGTGAGATTGCAAGTTTTCTCTTTTTTAATTCTGCTATTATTTGTAAATCTTGTTTAGTTAGTTGACTCTCTTTAACACCATTTACCCCCACAATAAGAAGATTTTTCCCTAACTCATCGGTATTTAATAAATCCATGTTGGAATCAGCAGGAATCTCTATTAGTCCCAATTCTTTATTTAATTTGATCAGCTTTTTCTGAAGACATTTTGAAAGCCCTATTTTAAATATGGAGCCTCCCAGAAATGTCATTGCCTCGTCTTGTTTAATTTTATGATCAGACTTTTCCAAAATAATTTTAATAAGCCTGTATTCTGGTGATCCATTCAACAAATAGTCTTTTCCCTCATCTGTAAGAGATAACATATTGTCCGAAATAAATTGTGTTTTAATAATATTACGGGACTCCAAACTTTTAATTACTCCTATTACTCTTTCATGCTCACATTTGAGTTCTTCTGAAATGCTAATACTGCTTAAAGAACAATTAAGCGACTCAAGCTTTTCTAATATTGTTACAGGTTCCACTTCCATGGTTTGATCACACGATTAATGCTCTATTAAAAATGATTTTTTTTCCAAGTTTGACATAGTTAAAACAATTATTAGGCGGCTTTCAGTATTTTTAATTGTCTCTTAAAATTAGAAGAAAATAGCATAGCTAATAATGAAAATCTATAAAGTAATTAAGATTATCGTACTAACAAAACAATTTATTACAAATGAAAAATCTAGAAATCACAAAAAAAAAATTATTATTGCGAGTATTGAAATAGGTTATGACAGAATCAAAACGTATATCCTCCTATCTAATACTTTTAAACTCAATAAATAATATGTTCATTGTTATCTTTCTCTTAAATTTTTGTCTTTTCATCGATGGATTTTTTTTTTTTAACAAGAAAATTATTAAATTGGGAATTAGCGCCATATATAAGCGCTGGCAAACTAGTTAGTTTGATGATACTTAAAGGCGGAGTAAATTAGCTTTTGTAGTCCGATTAGATTGAGTTAGCTAGTGGTTTTTCTATAAAGGGGGATTTAGAACAAAATTATTAACATATATGAGAGAACTTTTGTTATGAACGTAGGAAACTAACCTCTAATGAACGACGCAGAGGAAGATTGGCAAGATCCGCTTTTGGATGTGAGCATTCCATATAATTCGCTTGCACCCTATGCACTGACTTGCTATCAACTTGATGAAGATCTTCAGGATTTAATATCATTTTTTTCAACTTTGAGCAAGGAAGATTTAGCTCATCATATAAACGAAACGTCTTTTGAGTCCAGCTTACGTTTATTGAAGGATGTTCTACTCGTTCAACCAAACAAATTAGTCAGTTCTAATGGGAATGCACTCGCATATGAATTACTTGAAAGCAAGGAAGACCTTCAGAGAGACTTCAGTTCTTCAAGTGCTGATATTCTTACAAAGTTTCAAAAGAATGATTCAGCTGGAACTGACCTTTCAATATTGGATTCTCCTAATGGTATTATTAGAGTGGCAAATGAAACCAAAGTTAGAACAGATATAGTGGGTGGCGACCCGACTTTAAATAATTCTCAATTTCTTGAGGGATCTATTCAAGCTTCTAATTCTTCATACAGAATTGTGAGTAATGGTGAAGAAAATAAATTTGTAGATCAATCCAAAATGCTAATGGCATTTTTCAAGGAGTTGGAGGCTGCCAAACTTTTTGAGAATTTGGAATCATTTTCTGGAATATTAGCAGCACATTCTATTCACTTGAAAATTCTTCAAGATGTTGTTACTGACATCTTCAGAGTAGAAGAGCTTAGATTAAGACTTTGTTCACAGCTTGCAGCCTTATTAAACCCCATTATTTTATCAAGATTGGAATCTTACAATAATTCACTATTCTTCACTGCATTTACAATTCCTTCAAACGAAGGCTCATCCATTGATTTAAGAGAAAGTCATTGCTCATTACCTAATCCAATCATTTATAAATGGCCTTCAAACTCTGTTTGCATTGAAGATTATAAACTGTATATGTCAAGGCTTCCTCTTTTATGTTTTTCTGAAGTATTTAAATTGGGTTCATGTATCAGTCAATCGTTAAAAGTTCATGATAATTATCAAAAAACAATAGAAACTGATGCTGAGCAGACTGTAGATTTCTCTGAAATCTATCCAGATGAATGCTCTATAAGAATAAAATCCTTAGACTCGATTTATAATCAAAGAAATGGCTCTCAGATAGACCATCCCTTGTTTCATGTAGATTATGGTTCTAATAGCAACTTGGATGCTAATAGTAATTTTGTTCATCATCCTTTATGTACTGATATTGCTCAGGATTCCAAAGATATTGAAAGAGACGTTATATTTGTTAATGGCAAGGAGTATAGCGGAGCTAATGGCGGCTACGAGAGAATTGTTTATATTGTTGCAAACCTGATTGAAAACTATTGGCTGAAATCTTCCAATGGATTTGAGGACTCTAATTTAAATACTGAGACTAAAGAAGGTACCCTACAAGGCAGCAGTAAGACTGTTGAACTTTGCAGCGGATCAATCTTCAACTTAGTTAACAATGATCCAAACGAAAATTATGATGAGAGAAACACTGAATCTGTCGTAATTGCAACAATACTACTTCATGTATTGAGTAGAACATTTTCAGGCGGTGCATGCTTTGACAAAGTCTCCCTTGTATATAATAAGCCAGACTGTATTGTGATTTCTCCAAATAGTAAGCGAGCAAGACCACTAGAGATGCTTATACTCCCAAATGTTGCTCTAATGCTTTCGACATTGAGGTTTAGACTATATGAAGTTATGGAGAATTTAACTGTAAATACGCAACCCTGCTTTCTGGTTGATACACATGTGGTGTCTAGACTTGTTCCTGACTCTGGGTTGATTGAATTGCTTCCATTTTATTCCTTTCACATTCTATCAAGAACTCCAGTAAGTAAGATCCCATCATCCATATACCAACACCTATTAAGGTGCGCAAATTTATTTCTTGCTAAGAATATTCTCTTTACAAGAGTCAAAATCGCAAAGAAAGTGGAAGCAGGTACGCAATCGGTGCCTCCAGTAGAGATAGAATGCGAAAAACTACAACTAAATGTTGATCAACCATCTGAAGTTCGTGAAGAACCGTGCGGAAAATGTAACACGGCTCAAAATGATTCAAAGGAAAGTGATCAAAATGTTGCAGAGGCTTTTATTTCCAATAGTAAATGCCTAGACACTGATAAGATCATTGAAGTCACTGGAGACGACTTAACAATAATAACCCCAGGCGAAGCAGCTTTATTTAGAATGTTCACAAATATACAAGACAAGGAAGCTATACATAACAGCAGTATAGAAAACATTAACTTGAGTAACTCTGAAGTCTCCACTAATAAAGAGGCTGCGGAAGATAGAGATCGCTATGATTGTGATTCTAATGAATCTATTAAAGAAGAAATAAGGGATAGTGATCCTAGAATATCCAATTCGGAATCAAAACCTCAACATACAGTTGTAGAACAAGATTTCCCGATGACGGTAGTGCCTGATAGATCTGTTCAAATTCACGCCTCAGTAAATTCCCACCTTGAAGAACAAGAAGGTAATTCTTATTCAAATTACAACACTTTCAGAACTCAACAACAAAGCAATTCAGGAGAAAATCAAATTTCTGATAACACTAAGAATTCTTCGTACTCTGATTATATCTCAACAGAAAGCAAAGAAAATAGTGAGAAAAGCTGTATTAGTTTTGGCCTGCAATCCGGTAAAAACATTCCTAAACTGTATCTTTGCCATAATGTTGAAATTCCAGATTCATGTTCTTTGACATCAAACATTTATATTGCATCGTCTGAAAATTCGTCTAATCTTGCAAATGACTTA